GGTGGCACAGGGTGGGGGTGCGGCCGCTGGGGGGTTACGTGGAAGGGGGAATGGGCGCTGGGGTTTGGAGGGACCGCGGTCACGTGGAGAGCGCAAGTCTGTACGGCACTCCACTGCACGGTTAGTTGTGGACCTGTGCCTTCCGGGGCCCCCGCCCGCTGTGTTGGCCAAGTCGCAGCACCCCCCGGGGAGTGGGGAGGGAAGGGGGGAGAGGGGCGTGCAGGCAGCTCGCGCCCTTCAGGCTTCCCCCCCCTCAACCCCCCCTCGCCCTCAGGCCGCTGTGTATAGCCGCGGACATTGAGGAGCGGCTGGCGGTGGTGGAGGCCTTCATGCGGTGCCCCGCCGCGGGGGAGGCGCTCCAGGGGGCCCTGGCGCAGCTGCCGGACTGCGATAAACTGCTGCCCCGTACGGCACAGTTCTTCGCATCGGTGTGTTTGGGGTGGGAGCGCCTAGGAATGGGCACTGGGAGAGCGCCTCAGTCGCTTGTCCTGCTTTCTCCTCCGGGGCCCCCCCCCTCCGGCCCCTCCCCCCCACCGTCCCGCCCTCCAGCCCCCCCTCCGGCGATCTTCTCCTCCCTCCGCATTTGAAGACCTGCGCTGCTCTTGGGTCTCCCGGTTGACGAACAGACAGACTGACTGACAGACTTATTCCCTCCCTCGGGGCTGTCACGTGCTGGTCGGTCCCCCCTGAGGGGGGCTGCTCACCCCTGAGGAGCTGAGCCCGTGCGGCACGTCGGTCGGCGCTCTTCTGCCCCCTCCCCTCCCCCTCGCTTCCCCCTCTTGCTGCTCCCACACTACTGTCCGTACCCAGACACGTGAGAGGGGCCTTACTGCTACCGCTGTCTGCTACTGCGCCTGCCCCTCCAGGTGGGCTGTCAATCCCCAGCCAGGCGGGGAGCAGCACCGGCCGGGGCAGCGGGAGCGGGAGCGGGGGGAAGTGGTGGTAATGGCAGTGGTGGTGAGGGGGCGGACTACCCATTGCAGCAACAGCAGCAGGGCGAGGAGGAGGAGGAGGAGGGGGACCCTTGCGATGTGGCGTGGGCAGTGAGCACCCGGCGCAGTCAATGTGTGACTGTACGGCAGCTGGTTTCGGGGCTTATGGGCATGTGCCGGGCGGCAGGGGAGCTCAGGCAGCGGCTGGGGGTGAGGTGGGGGAGAGGTTGACTGCGTGGGGCTGGGTGGTTGGGAGGATATGGGGGGCGGGGGGGGGCGGGGGGCTGAGGCACCCGATCTGTGGCGGTAGGAGAGGTCAACTGGGGGGGGGCCCAGCCCAGGGGCAGCCAGACAGTAGGGCTGTCCTCTCTTCCCTGTGTGCATGTGCGTGTACGTATGTGTGTATGCAGCTCGCGCACCTTTGTCAGACTGGTGGGAAATCCACACCCCTCCCTTCCCCGTTCTCCCCCCGCATGTGTATGGCTCCCCCCTGCCCCCTCTCCACGTTGTCCGCAGGCAGACGGCTCCCCCGCAGCTGCCAGCCTTCCCCCCGTACGTCGGGCAGTGGTGGCGGCGGCCAGGTCCATACCCGCCCTGAGGCTGCTGAGCGCCTGGTTCGAGGACGACGGCAGCGGAGGGCAGCAGCGCATGCAGCCGGGGGGGGAGGGGGAGGAGGCGCTGCTGAGACCTCCGCCGGGTGAGTGACCGCACCACCACGGGAAGTACCATACCCTCCATATGTTACTATTGCGGGGCTGGGAGGTGGAGGGGCAGGCGGATGAGCGGATGAGCGGCATGGCCTGCTCATCCGCGGATGAAAAGTCCGGCAGCGGACGTATACGTCCGCCAGTGACACGCGCATTGCAACCCCTCACACTCGTATACGCCCCTAAAACACACACACTCCCCCTTCACCCCCTCACCCCCCACATGCAGGTGTGCATGCGGGTTACGACCAGGTCCTCGCTGAGCTGGGCTCCCTGGAGGGGCAGTGGGAGGGGGCGGTGGCGGGTGAGAGGCGGAGGCTGGTGGCCGCCGGTGTCCCGCCTGGCCTGGTGGCGGCCGGGGGGGACGTGGCGGAGGAGAGGGCGGGGGCCCTGCACTGGCCGCACCAGCTGGGGACCTGGCTGCAGGCACAAGTGGGCGCGGGAGGGGGGGGCGGTTGGGGGGGTTGGGGCTTCCTTGGAGGGCGGGCACCTGCGGGGCAGGGGGCCATGGAGGGGGGTGACGTAGCGAGGGGGCGCCAGGAGGTCGGAGGGGGTCGGGATCCTGCAGGGGCTGCGCGGGCGGCAGCGCACCCTCGACGTGCAGTCGGCCGGCATGGGCATGTGATGGGGAACATCCATCCCCTAGTCATTGCCGCTGCACCCTCTGTGTCCGCTGAGGGCATTGCGGTGCAGTCCCCCTTCCCCCCTTCCCCTTGCCCTGACAGCAGCTTCACTCGTTCGTGGTTCGTCTTTCCCCCCCCTTCCCCCCTCCCCTTGCGGGTTAGCAGCCAGCATCCCTTGCGTCCACCTGCACATACCCCGACCCGACCCGACCACCCGCCTAACGAGCCGCTGCCCCCTCCAGGGCCACGTGCTGGTTGCTCCCCGGCCTCTGGCTCCCCCCGCCACGCTCACAGCCATATGTCCCCGACTGGAGGCATTGGGCCAGCAGCTCGCGGAGGTACGGCAACGTTTGGACGAACATTGTGGAGCGGCGTTGGCGGAGGTGGCCGCTGCCTTCAGGGCGTCGTACGGCGAGTTCGTACGTCTCGTGGACGCGGTGGCCTCCCTGGACGTCCTGGCGGGCTGGGCAGTCGCCACTCACCCCTCCCAAGCGCCACCGGGTGGGTGGTGGCGCCGCCAGCTGGTGCAGTACACTGTACGGTATCGTACGGTCCTAACCGCAGTAGCAATTGTGCTGTAGTTGTTTGGAGCCGTCGAGGCAACCCGGGGTACACAACACAACACAACACTTTTGTGTTGTGGGAAGAGGTGCCCGAGTAACCCAACAGCAGCAGCAGCAGCAGCAGCAGCACGAGGACATGAGGGCGGTGTTGAGTGTGGGATTGTGCCATACGCTCCTCCCCTTCTTGTCGTTGTTGTTGTTGCAGTAGGGGTGGGGCAGGCGTGATGGTGCGGAGGCCGCCAGGACGTCCGACCTCCCTTGGATTGTACGGCAGGCCACCTGCTGTGCCTTACCTGGCCCTTTCCCCTCCCTCCCAACG